TATATATATATATATATATATATATATATATATATATATATATATTCAATGAGATACGCGATACTTAGCGCTGATGTTTATCTATATGTATATATATATTCGACCGGATATCGTCGATTTACTGAAGATTGCCGTCATTACTGAAATACCAGTGAATCGTGAAACAACACGGTGAAATTAATCGGCGAAAATGTATCTACTGAAGAACGTTCCGTTTCCGACTGAATACGTTGAAGCTGTAATAACTCGTCCGTGGCATCTACGATTGATATAATAGTAATGATGCATTCGAAGCGCCGGTATGATTTCGAACAATAAATATCTTCGGGTGAAACGATGTATCTCGAGAACGATGAATCTCGTAGGGCAAGTTTATTTCTCAGTTGAAATTGTTTCTAACCTGTTTTCACGGGTAACCTGCTCTTTTTTGGCGGGATATTTGAAATGACAGATTGCCGCGTAAGAAGTACATACTATTTATAAGTACTATCGTTATAGAAGTTTTACAAATAATCGTACTCGAGACTTTTTTCTTTTTACCTTTTACTTTCGATGAGTATTACACGCTCCTGAAGTTTGCCTAACTTTTTTAAACACCCTGTATAATGTCCGAAATAGAAAAGAAATCTAATAACCTCGAAACTGTATTTGGGTCCACGTTTATGATCTTTCGTGGATGAGTGAAATGATCTTTTTGTTTGTTTCCATACTGCTGATGTTTGTCACCAATTTTTTTAAACGCCCTGTACAATGTCCAAAATAGAAAAAAATCTAATAACTTTGAAACTAAAAAACCAAACAACTCCGAAACTAATGTTTTCATTACCGATCTTTTTCGAGCTCGTTTCGATAAATATTACACGCTTCTAGACTTTGGTACCAACTTTTTTAAACGTCCAAAATAAATATCTAATAACTTCGTAACCAATTGTTCTTGGGTCCATGTTTATTAACTTTCATGGATAATGAAAATTTTTGTTTGTTTCTGCTGATGTTTGTCACTAATTCTTTTAACCTTTTGCTTGTCTAACCTTTTAACCTGGCAACTGGTTGGCGGACCATAACGAGTGACCAAACCGCATACAATAATTCGTCGCTTTATTTTTGAACTCGTCGGTATATTACCGACTGGAATAGAAGTGATAAATTTATTATTTGTTTTGCCTGAGTTATATTTAAATATGAAATATACAACTTGAAACTGCGAGAATATAGCAAATTTTTGGGAGAAAAGATTCTCGACGTGGCACGCAAGAGATTAAACGCCCTGTATAATGTCCAAAATAGACAAATATATCTAATAACTTCGAAACACCAATTGTTTTTGGGTCCATTGTTTATTATCTTTCGTGGATAATGGAAGTTTCTGTTTGTTTCGATACTGAAGCAACTTTCTTAAACAGCCTGTACAATGTGGTTAATAGATCGCCCGGCGTTATCGAAGGATCTAGCCAGCTACTAATCGGCCGTGTCGGCATCGGGCTTTCTTTCCCGCGCCGTGTAAGAACGTTGTCCGACCTGACGCGATCCTCGTTTATGGGGGGATTACTCAGATTCGCTCACGAGCGTGTGGCGAACTCGCTGGCAATGAGACCTGGCGCGGTTTTTGCCATTCCGCCGGGAATGTTTCGTTCGAGAGGCTGAAACACAAGCCACGTGAATTCGTGCAGCCCCTTTTAACGCGATTAAACGAAGAAAACGGAGAACTCGAGGCTCGACACCAGGACAGGTGCATTAGGCAACAAGAAGCGCCTATTTGCGACGGTCTGCGTACCTGAAGGAACGTGGCAACGATCATTTAGAGGAGCGATTAGCCGCAACAGGTGCGTCGAACCGCCGTAAAACATACTTTTATCGCCGTTATTTTTCGCCCCGCTAAATCATTATCGTCCATTTTTATGCCCCGTTTCCGCTCCATTTTTATTCTCTATTCTTCTCGTCGATCCTTTTCCCTCGCCGACCATTCCGTTCACTCATTTCCTCGTTATCATCGTCACGATTTCAACGAGT